CAGCACAAAAAATCTTTTTTTAAACACATCTGACAAGCCCCAATGATTTCAATGCTGGGAGGGAAAAACAGCAAACACCACTCTTGTCTATCTATCACGAATCTCTCTCTGTCTCAAGGCTACATTGGTTAAAATCAACGGACAACCCTTTTTTGTATGTCAAATTGTAAATTTTAATGTTTCATTAGAATAGTCTTTTATAGCACTCTCCAAAAAGAAGCAATAAAATAACTAACAGCAAACTTCAGTACAGGAGCACTCTCCGGGTTAACAACGCCAACAAAAAAAAGTGAAATGTAAATCACATATAATACAATTGAAGCGTCCAAAACAATTTAAATAATTTTAAATATTTTATTTTTAAACTGCTACAAATGCTTTATACAATATTTCAACATAAAGTCCCCATAACAGAAATGTAACAAAATGGGAATGATAGTGGAAGGATTAAAGTGGCACAAATTCACCAAACAAATATTAAACTACAAATTTTTAAGAGGTAGATTACTTTTGAAGTTGAGAACAAAAAAACAGTATGAATAAAACCTAGCCGTTTTCCACCAACTCAGTCATTAATTTAGAGGGAGGCATAAAAATGCAAGGAGAAATGGTATTAATATACTTAAAGAAGAGGCCAATTTGTTTTTAATCTCTATCAGAGATGGAAGTGTAAAACCTGGTATGCAAATTCATTTATACTTACATGCAGACATACATCTATGCAGGCCTGGGATGCACCTGTGCATTGATATATTGCTACACAGTCTCTGATAATAGTTATAAATTAGTGCCAGATAAGAATCTGAGAGGATAATGTCCATTCGGATATACAAACACAACACCAGAATAGGCATTAAAAAAGAGTCCATATCCAAACTGGTTTCCTCTCCATTATGCTGGCAATCTACTTGTGATTTAAAAAAACAAAAAAACCCAAAAAATACCAGGGTAAGAGATCAGCTAAATGCCTCTCTCTGTCTACAATTAATTTAAAAGAAAGGCATCAAGAGCTGATTATGTGACCAAAACGTTTTAAATGAGTGCATCCAAATTTGTCATCCCTGAAACCTACAACAAACTACTGCTAAAACAGAGAACTTGCTTTGCAAGGTTAGGTTCAAATCATTCCTTTCTCTGCTACATGCCAAAAATAAGGGCCATGCTCAGATCTGAGGTACCAGTCCCGTGACGAGGCGCCAGTTCATCTGGCCTGTCTTACAGTGCCCTTCTCTTTGGATCTCAATCACCCAGGAGCCCAGCATGCGCGTTGGGCCCCACCGAAGCAGCAGATGCCTGACTCTAAGCCTGCCGGCAATCAGTTGTATGTTAGGATTTTTGAGTCAGCTTCAACTGGTCTTGCAAGCTTGGTAGATTTCGTATCCTTTGCCGTAGTGCTTATCCTAAGTTGAGCATGCAATACCTTTTAGTCAATTAAGGTTTGTTTTGTTTTGGGGGCTTTTCTACAGGAAGTTCCTAGAAAATAAGAAAACTGAAGATAAATGACAACATAACATAACCTTACATGAATTGCCCATGTTAAAGAAAAAGGTGAACAGACCATAAGACAAATGTTATTCAGACACCAACACATAAATGACTGAAGGCATTTAGGAAGGAGCATCCTACTCAGAAGACATACCCTGCAAGGAACTACACGAATTTCCAAGGGGTACAGCAGAGATGGAGACGTGAGAAATGAGCACTTTATTTTTTTAATCAATTCATGGTAAAAGAAAAAACTTGCATTTCATTTTGCTTCTCTACCTTTAAGTTTTCTTGACTGGCTGCAATGGGAACTCGGTTCGAAAAGGAAAAAGTGGCTCTAAAAGGAGCGTTAAAGAACATACCACCACCTTGGGGTTTACCAAGGTGAAAGGTTTTAGGAAGTGAGTAGAGAATATACCTCTTTCCTTCCCTTTCTGCTTTATGGGAGCCCTTGGAAATGAACCCTTAGCAACAGATTTAAACTTAGCACTACAGAAAGCCACAGTGCGGGGTTGGGGTGGATCACTGTATTAAGAGCTGCAGCAGGAGAGCCTGAATGACAGTGGCATGGCTGGTTGCCTGTGTTTTGTCCTAAGAAAAATGTTTGGAGCACATGGCTTTTTTACACCCTGTCTGGCACTATGGCTTGTGTTCCAGAAAATGACCCTCAGTGTTTAGTAGAAAACTCATGGGAAAAATCACATGGCTGACTGCAAGCATATACTTGAAAAACTGTGGAATCCTAAAGTGGCATTCAAATGTAAAATATCTGAGTATTGAAAACTAGCTCCTAATCACAATCTGTTGTAAGGAAATACACAGGACAAGGATGTGCTTGCCTGTTTTGTAGTAAGTCCCTGCCTACCCAATGTAAGTAAAGCAGGCTGCAAACAGAGTCAAAGTGAGTATTCCTCAACATACAATAGATGTGATGATTCCTCGGGTTAGGAATCCTCCCTACACAAAATTTAGAAGTAGAACTATACTTAAACAGGAAGACGACTGTAGTTCAAACAACTCCTTATCAGTGCAATACAACAAATATGCACTGAGGACGAGGCCTGCTTCTGTAACAGCCCTGGGCAGGACGTATAATGACAATCATCACATTCCCCAGGTCTGAGTTTAGGAATCCCAGTTTTGTACTAAATTCACTACAAAGTACTAAGACCAAAACAAATACTTGGAAGAAACGTCCACTTTTGTGTCCAGATAGTCAAACTAAATCTTGATGAGCATCTGTCTTCCAATTCCCTAGAACACTTCACAGGTTTATGGCCACTTGGTAAGTGGACCCCTGGATCACATTCCTGACCTGTAGATGTGTCTGTCCACAGCACAGTTCCAGCACTTCACACAGAGGAGGAAGAATTGCCACCAATGCCTGTCATTACTGTCTACAGTTAGAACAATACCAATGTTTTCTTTCTTATCTGATTCTTCTGTGCTTCCTTTTAGGCCAAATGTCAACTCCAGCAAGGTAACCCTCTGTTAATTATCAAACAAAGCAAAATAATGACAATTAACTGGAGCAAAGAAGAGACAGAATTTTTAAGGCACGTTTGTAGCCTTAAGGGTTCTTTAAAAGACACTGCGTAGAGGCTATTTGAATGAACTTCATAAATCTATAGTCACCCTGACAGCTTTTCCTTACAGAACGCAATTTTTTCAAATCTACTTTAACCTTGAACTGTGTAAGTAGGACCCAGTACAAAACAAGTGTTTCTTTTAGATAATACTGAAAACAAAAAGGGATAGAAACAGTGTACACCCTAAAGCATCAACCACCTGGGAGGCATTTTATAGTACAATCTGTGAAAATGAAGGCACATAGTGGTTGCTGAAGACATAAGCAACTTGAAAAGGACTCAATTTGATCATGTCCTGTTGGTGCAGCACCTCCAGAACAGACTAAGTGCAAACAGGTGCACAATTCAATGACTAAAGGCAAGCAGCTTTGACAGCTGAAAACATAGGTGCTTATTTTCACCAGCACTAACCTCCAAGATGCTGCCTATGCATGCGCTGTGGTCAGAGACCGATCATTGGTCAGACCTATAGCAACTAAATACTTAAAACATTTATGAAGTAGCTTTCTAAAAATCTGAACCATTAATCCTACAGTAAATCATTCAAATCAGCCTTGGCTAATGAGTCTTCTCTCTTTAGCTGTGATTTAAGGCAAGCCAGCATTAAAAATTCTACCTGATTAATTATGCAGGGCTAATGGCACGCGTGTCCTCATGACCTCTCCAAAACGGCAGTCACGCCCACACTTATCCCTAATTCTGCTTGCTTAAAACACCAGAGAATTTTCAGACACCAAAGCTATAGCCATGGAACCCTAGAGTCAGGTCAGGTGGCATACTCCGAAAAGACAGGATTTAAAAGTATTCTGTAGAAATGCTATCTGATAAGAGTAATTTCACACGAGACTGACCTATAGGCATTATTCAGAAATAGCAAGAATTCCAAGAATGCACAACCACTTTGGAAAAGGAGAAAGTGAGAATCCAATATTATCAATTTACCACTGTCATCTCTCTTCATCTGTCACTGAGAACAGTTCTTAACATAGGAAGCACGTGCAATAAAGCAGTAAGGTCACTTCAAATCTAGGACGAATCCTTCCATTATGACCAGGGACACAAAGGCATTGACAAATAAGGCTGGGTATCACACAGGCCTGAAAGAGCCACAAGGGTCTTGTCCAGAGTTCCCAGCACGTCTCTCCTACTCTGCCTCCCATCCAGAACCTGACTTGTTTACTGTCCTATGGCTGAGCTCAGGAGGTGGGGAACAGGGAATAAGGCCTTTTAAAGGACTATGTTTTGTTTTTACCAATGCAACAATTTATTTTATATATATATATATATAAAGAGATGCGGTTTCGCCACGTTGGCCAGGCTGGTCTTGAACTCCTGACCTCAGGTGATCCACCCGCCTTGGCCTCCCAAAGTGCTGGGACTACAGGCATAAGCCACCGCGCCCGGCCTAAACTGTTAAAATTTAAACACTGGCAATGAAAAAGTCTCAGTTACTATATCTATATTGAAGTCACAGAAATATTAAACAAGACTGTAACATGGTCTTCTAATGAACTTGTGACCCATCTTCACCTAAGAAATGATCTATGATCAGGAAATAAGACACATGACACTGAGCTATTACCCAAGATATGAAGGAAGTTTGAGAGGATTTCATCTTTTCTTACAGAGTACTTTTGAGAGCTTTTCTATAGTTTTAAATTCAAGTACACCAGGCCACATTAAAGAAGTGGCACCACTTTGTCAGTCCTAAGTCTGAAATTAAAACTATTTATTCATCTCTAAGGCATCCAAAGCTGTGACCCCTCATGCCTGTAACTTATGCAACAGCTATTTCCTTTAAGTGTTTAGGTCAAAATTTTACAGGAAAAGAAAAAAAAAAAAAAAAGCAACAAGAAACCAAAAAACAGCCGTAGGCAAGGATACTGCCGCCTTCCTGGCCCTTCCCTCCCACCAGCTCGAGCTCACCTGAAGTCCTTCAGCTCCTGCTTGGCGCTGCCGTCCTCTCTCTTGCTCTCACTCGAGTCAGCAGCGGCTGCCAGCTGAAGGCTTCGGGTGACTGGCCCCCCACTCCGCTCTCTAGATTTTATATTGAACCGGTCTGTTCTTTTCTTACTCGCCAAGGCTGATTTGCTTTGTAAAACAGCTTTGCTTTTCTGTACCCTCACGTGCAGGCTCCGCGATGTTTTGCTGGAAAGCTGAGCAGAATGATTCTTGGCCACAGCTTTGGGTTTTTTCCCCTCAACATGAGTTATTTTGGCCATTCTTATCGGGCTGGAGTTCCTTAAAGAGGAGGAGCTTGGTTTTTTGGATTTCACTGAAGCTGCAAACTTGACATTCTGCTTGGACCTGAAGGATGAGGAGGGGAGCGGGACTTGGGTGGGGCCTGAGCTGCGGGCTCTGGTCTTGCCCAAAGGAGTCTGCGTGCTTTGCATTTTAATCTCCGCATCCGCTGTCCGTCTGCGGTGGTTGCTGTTGTTTTTGTCACTACCTGCAGGTGATGAGTGTCCACCTTTCTTAGATGAATGAGAAACTTTTTTTTTGGGAGGAGAAAGGGGTTTTTTGGGACAGCTGAAAGCAGCATGTTTATTCAGGCTTCCAATGTAAGTGAACTCTCGATTACAGTAAGGGCAGATGTGAGAGGATGACTCACAAGCATTTTTCAAGTCAGCCTTCTGCTTTGCAGATTTGTTTTTCTGAAGGATTGCTTTCTGTACAAGCTGATTTTTTTTCTTCAATGCATTTAATTTGAGTTTATTCGACGACATTTTGCTGAGCTCAACACTAAAGTTTAGCCTTTTGGGCTGTCCCATTCGTCGGAAGGCATTTTTCCCAGAGTTATCTAAAACCACCACGCCATTTTTGGGTTGCACAGTTTGTTTTAACGGTACCGGATTTTTCTTAGGCGTATATCTCTTCTTGTCACTTGCAGAAGCACACGCCAGGATATGTTTGTGCAGCTCAGGCATGTTGTCGACACCTTTTCCACACTTTGTGCAGCGGATGGCAGTAGTAAAAGTCTGTGGAATATTGTGTGTAGTGAAATTTGTGGCCGTCACACCAATCCCCATGGGGTTTCGGTGATGGTACTGAAATGGAGGTGGTTTAAAGCTTGGGTAATGCTGATTGAGGCCCAGTCGAACATCTGGATCTTTCGTCTTTATTCCAGAAGCCATTATTTTTATAGTCGTGTAAAGCTCTTCGGAGGAATCGTTTAACTCCTCTTCCTCTTTAGAAGTTTCTAAAGGATCTTCTGGCAAGCTCTGCATATGCTCTACATGGGCCTTGCTGGGATCTGTAAAGTTTTGGGGCCTCAGAGTCCCACTTTCAAACTCATGATGTGTGCACACCTTATCTGGGTGGAGATCTCGCTGGTGCTGCTGCAAATTGCACAAGAAAGCAAATTCTTTTTTACAAACAGAACACACAAAGATATTCCCAACTCCGTGAAGCAAGAAGCGATGTTCTGACAAGTCCGTTTTATCCTTAAAGAGCTGCACACAAAATTCACATTTGAAGGGCCATTCTTCAGCATGAATAGATAAATGTTTGGTTAGATCTTTAATGGAAAGAAAAGGTGATTCACAGACATTGCAAACAAAGTTTTTGTTGAATGTTTCCTGAACAACAACATCCTGTTCAGCAGCAGACTGGGGCTCTTCCCTGGGTTTCAGACCTTCATTCTCCAATTCCTCCTGTTTGAAAGACATCATGGGGAGAGAAGCCTCCAGATTATCACCAGAGGAAACAACAGATGATATCGCGGAGAGAGGAGGTGGAGAAGGAGAAGAGGAGGAAGATGAAGAAGAGAACGAAGAGGAGGAAGAAGATGAAGAGGAGGAAGAAGAAAGCGTTGGAGGCCCGGGTGAGGCAGCAGACGTCAGAGGCTCCACGGGAGGAATGGGAGAGGGAGAGGGGGACACTGTTGGGGACAGGATTGGAAGTGGGGACTGTGCGGTGGCATTTGAGAGTGGAGAGGGGCATGGATGTGGAGATGCGCTGGAAGAGGGGGCTGGAAGAGGTACGGTAGGAAGGAGGGGAGGGGGCGGAGTGGCAACAGTTAATACCGGGGGACAGGGTGGAGGGGAGGAGGGATCTGTGGGAATCAAGAGAGGAGGCAGCCGACCAGAAGTAAGTGAGGGTGTCTGCAGGGCAGGTGATGAAGGACAAACATCAGGTGGGGACTCGACAGTAGGGGCAGGGAAACCAGAGTCCGGACCAAGGTCAGGATCTGGCTGAGCTTCTAGGGATTTACAAGGACTTGGGCTCCTAGTCACATCTGCAGGGTTTTCTACAGGTAAATCGATGCCATTATATTCATTGAGAAGAACCTTCTGTAGCATGCAAGTGGTTGGTTTCTTTTTCTTTACAGCACTACAAGTAGGCTGCACTGTATGATTTTCTTTGAATTCCTTGCCTTCTGAATCACTACAAGGCTTTTTATGCACACTGAGATCTAAGACAGATTCCCACTGGACCGGAGTCTTGCCTGTACCCTCAGCCTTCTGTTTGACACCACTGGATAAATCCAATGGCTGCTGGTTGCACACACTGCTAAAAGCAGAACTGGCTGTCCACTCTTTAGACATTTTATATTCATCAAAGCATGGAGGGCTCACAGTTTCTCTCTCATCTCTCCCAGACAAACTCCATGCTGGTGAGTCGCTATGACTGTCTAATTTGGACTTTTTGGAAGTCAGAACTGCATCGGTCCACACTGCTTTCCCATCACTTGGCTTTCCAAAGTCACGAAGGGCAGGGCTGTGCTGTGGGGAACTGGGAGGAGAGCTGGTCCGCCTCTTAAACCTACTTGAGGTCACAGGCAACATTGATGCAGGAGCAGACACACAAACAGGACCTAATTTAGCTATTTCAGTTGCTGAAATCCCCGGAGGAGGAGTTAGTTTATCTTGAGTTTGAAGAAGTTGCTTGAGCTTTGATGACAAATAAACACTTTTCTCTTTATGGAAAGACACTGCCTCCGTTGTTGATATGCTAAGAGGAAGACTTAAGGAGCAGGAGGGGGCCATGGGGTCAGAATCTGTTTCAGCCTTAATTTTGGGCAGTGCAGGTGGACTCGCGGTTCTCCGCTTCTTGGCCTCATTATTTGTGCTGCCTGAAGGTTCTTTAGGAAGATCTTCTGTTACAGAGACCTGTGTGGTCTTTATATTTTGAGTAATTTCCACTGTAACTGGAGTGAGCAGACAATTTATACCATACAAATCGGCCGAAGTGGACTCCATCTCAATCACATCACAGTTACTAGTGCTGTTATTAGTTTGAATTTTACCATCAATATAGTAATTTAAGTTTTCAGAGATATTGCTAGAAATGTCCATGATGTACACGTCATCTGCTTCGCCTTCCTCCTCTGGCTCTGTGCTTGGTACATAGACATTCTGGGTGGCCTGGGCCTGTTCTGCTGGAGGCTGGGGCTCTTCAAGGCTTCCTTTTCGCCGCACACCTTTGGGAATCAGATGGCGCTCGTGAACTCTACGCTGATGCCGTCTCATATTAGTGTGAGTTCCAAAAACCTTTTTACAATATTTGCACGGATGAAGTTCTTTAACTTCCCCATTCTCTTCTACAACAGAAGAATTTACTGTGTCTTGGGAAGGCTTCTCTGAATTTATGATCAGACAGTCTTGCCCAAGATTGGGAGGACTCGATTCATCTTTTGAAGCAACGTTTTCTGCAGGTGCTTTGCCATCAGCCAGGTCCTCTGACTGCTGTAGTGTTAGGCTGGGCTTTCGCTTTAACCCTGCTTCATGGCGCCGCTCATGGCGCCGCCGGTTAATCTGTGTGCCAAAGGCTTTCCCACAGTACTTGCATTTGAAAGCATGATTGACCGTGGATATATGGATATGCATGTGACGCTCAAGCCCTTGTTTGGTTGTAAACTTCCTTTCACAATGCTGACACGGAAACATAAACGCTTCAAATACATCACCATTGGCCTCTTCTTTAGTTCTGGGGATTTGTGCGGCAGATGTTACCTCTGAGGAGTCTTCAAGAGTTTCTTCCGAAATCGTTTTTGGTTCCTCTAATAAATCTTCTGGCTTCTCATCACACCGTATTTCTGGCTCTTTCACAGAACTTTCATTTGGCATGCTGGTTTCTTCTTCCCCCTCTTCTTCCAACTCATCATCATCTTCTTCTTCTTCTTCTTCTTCATCCTCCTCCTCTTCCTCCTCCTCTTCCCCCAAATCGTTCACCTCACAATCCGCTGCTTCTACTCGCTCGTCTGGTTCTGGTTGTGGCTCCCAGGTATGGGCAGGGGTTGCTAGTTCTGGAGGCACCTCCTGACTGGCCACTTCCTGGAGGATGGTCGGCTGCTCAAGTGCTGAGGCCGAAGGCTTCTCTTCCTCTTCTTTAGGACCTAGAAAGCACATGGAAGCAGAAGCATGGAAGTGAAGCCTGGGAAACCAGCTACTTGGTGAACAATTTGTATGATTCAAGTTATTTCTCTTACCACCTAAAACATAAGGGAGATTATGATGAACAGTAAGTTACTTCTACTTTATATACTTCATTGATAGAGTTGGATGGGATATGAATCCATTTCATTCAGCTATTCATTCAACAAGTATTTACAGAGTACCAGCTACATACCAGGCAATATCCCAGGGAGTGAGGATACACACACGAACGCAAAAGACAAGGATGTCCACAAGGAACTGGGATTTTGTGTTTAGCTGCATATACATAACAACTCAGTTTACAGAAAACACAATGTTTAAAATTGTGTTGGAGTAGCCAATACTACATTTTAGGAAAGTAGTTGTAAATTCTAATTTCTCATGATTCTAAACTGAAAAAAAGTTCATTACTAGACATATCACCAGGTTAGATCCTTGGAAGTCTGTCTGGAGTATATGATCCTCTCTCCTTCTTAATTAAACCGTTATATTCAGAGGCTAGAACATTTTCCAGAATCGTGTAATCACAAGTTTTTCAAGCTAGACAATCTTTGGAGATCATCTCTTCTAAGCCTAGCCAAGTTATTAAGAACTCAGGAGCACCACACTGAAGGGAATGGGAATCTGCCGTCACTTCACAGTCTCTAGGCCTAGCCCACCTGAGGTGCTTGGTAGAAGGCGGTCAGGAAAGGACTTGCTTACAAGGTGACAGTGGAGGAGAGACCTGAGGAAAATGAGGCATGCAAATATTGCGGAGGAGGAGCCCTACTGGATAGAGGAACCTGCAAAATGCAAAAGCGCTGAGTTAAAAACATACTAGGTGTGTTCAAAGAACAGCAAAGACGTCAGTTAGGCAAGGTGAGGAAGTTGGGAAAAATAAGGGGAGGAGATGAGACTAGAGATGTAAACAGGGACCTGCTCACACAAGACCCTGGAGGCTGCTGGCCTTTACTCTGAGTGAAACATGGAGCTACCAGCAAGATCTAACAGAAATATACAATCTGACCTGTCATCAAGAGAATCACTCTGGTGACTACAAGGAAGATAGTGAACCCTAGGTGACAAGGGTGGAGGCAGATGGACGAGAGGGGACCCACTGCATCCTCCAGGAGAGGCAGGATGGTGGTACAGGGGTGGCAGTAGGACAGGATTACAGGTGCTCTGGATATATTCTGGTGATGAAACTGACATGCGCCTGCTGATTGGCTGTGGTGAGAGAGAAGAGACAAGGAAGATTCATGCAACTGCAATAATCCTGGTTAACAAAATGTTGAAGATCACAAGAGAAGCAACCATGGTCTGTGTACATGTGCATGTCGTGGGGGAACTAGAGTTTACTTTGGACACGCTGAAGTTTTAAGGTACCTGACTATAGACATCCAAATGAATATATTACGTAGACAGCTTTATATGAATCTGGAACTCAACAAAGAGGCTGGCCTAGAAATTTCAAAGAAATTTCTAGAGAAGGCCAGAGAAGGTATTTAGAGCACTGGACTGGATGAGGTCGCCTGGCAAACGAACGCAGGCAGAACAGGAATTAGAGGACTCTGTCCCAGATGACTCCAAAACTGAGGCAGGAAGAAAGGTATCTGGAGAACCAAGAGAGGGGTGGCCCTTCGGCCAAGTAAAGAAATTGCTTCAAGGAAGAAGTGACCAGCTGTGTCCAGAACTCCTGATGGGTTGGATAAGATGAGGACTGAGAATGGAACATTCCATCTGCCAACGCAGAGGTCTGGTGATTGTAACAGCAAGTGGAGTAGTGGGGACAAATGCCTAACAGAGTTCCTAAGAGAATGGAAGGAGGCAGAAGAGAAAGGGAGCCTGTTAGCAACTCTTTCAATTTTACCTGTAAAGAAAAAGAAATAGGGCCGGGCGCGGTGGCTCAAGCCTGTAATCCCAGCACTTTGGGAGGCCAAGGCGGGTGGATCACGAGGTCAAGAGATCGAGACCATCCTGGTCAACATGGTGAAACCCCGTCTCTACTAAAAATACAAAAAATCAGCTGGGCATGGTGGC